GTCAGTATGTGAGAGGTGATGAGCCTGGATTCCAACCAGGAATGATCCTCCACTCCCCAGCTGGGGAGGAGGTTGGCAAAGATGTTAAGGCTTCAAATAAGGACAAAATGAGGACACTGGACTTCAGAAGAAGGGTCTCATATCAGAGTCGGCTGGCCACTGCAACAATCAACCCCAATATCTCAAAGATTCAATACAGAGAAGTTTTTTCTCCCTCATGTAACAGTTCAGTGACTCAGGCGCCTATGTACTTTCCTTCTAGGTGGAGGTGGAGACTTCCACCTTTCCCAGGGTGTCTATTGGAACCAGAAAAAGGAGAAGAGAGAGGAGATCACGTGGCAATGTTTATGGGCCAGTTGTGAAGTGACACCCATGATCACTTCTACTCTTATTTCAGTGGCCAGAATTCAGTTGTATGGCCACACTAAATACAAGGGAAGCTGGAAGAGGTGGACTAGAGGAATGATGAACCGAAATGGATTTGGTAAGCTGCTGACATATTTCTTACCCTTGTCATGGATAGTGTGGGCCTGGGCCTGGGTCTACAGGTGATTAGCAGGAGCTGATATAGATGGTATAGAGGTAGATATAGATATAGACTGGGGAGACTGAGGCAGGCCTGAAGGCAGAAGCTAATAGGAAAACCGTTGGGAATCACCCATGACTTCTCACCTCTGTGTGAGCAGGAGGCTGCTCTCACACTGCAAGGGTCAGCCTTTCAGTACCATTCAGTACATTAGTTAAAGGTCTCCAAAATCCCAACAATATCACAGGCAACATAGTTGGCTTAAAATTGGTAATGCCCCATGAATTTTATGTATATAAAACCAACCTCAGAAACACAAGTTGGCTCATGAAGTGGTCATACTCTTTACCCTGTTTACTCATCCATAAAGCAGGGATGTTGCCAAAACACAGCAGTGGCCCTTGAATCAAGCAGTTGCAGAATGAACATGCATCCACTAAAATATAAAATATATAGTCTGACTCTATTGTAACACATTATTAGTGAAATCAAATTAAGCAATATTTATTAATAATTACTATTATTATTACAAAAAGCAAATATTTGTTGAATTCCTGTTATACTCTGGGCATTGAGCTAAGTGTTTTACATGCATGTTCTCACTTACTCCTAATAACAACCCTATAAAGAGAGTGGTATTATGCCCATTTTACAGATAACACTCAGGGCAATTTGGTGAATTTTCTAAGGTCGTGCAGATGGTGAGTAACAGAGGCAGGATTCAAGTCCAGGACTGTCTGCTCCAGGCTCACCCTCCTAACCACAGTCAATGCCTTTTGCCTTTGTGAGCACCTCATTTACGGAGGAAGCCATGGAGTGGAGTGGTGTAGAACACCAACTCTGGAGTCGGGCTTTGCGTCTGGGTTTAAATTCCGCTTACTTCATTTCCATGAACCTGTTGCTTCATCTGCAAAACAAGGATAATAATAGTACCTATTTCATGGTGTAAGAATTAAATAAGATGTGGCAGGTCCAGGGCTTGGACTCAGTAACTTTCAGCTTTTCCTATGGTTTCCAGGCATTGTGCCAGGCTTTGCAGGATGAAAGGAAAGTCAGAGGGAGGGGCCTTTGGACCCAAGTCCTCACTGACTCAAAGCCCAAGAGGCAGAGGAAGCTCACCACCTTCTTCACTTTGGCCTTTCTCCTCTAAAACGCCCTATTGATTTATCACCAAAAAGCCATCTCCTGATCACAAAGGCAAGATTTCAATAATTCTTACCCAGTTCTTGACTAAAGATGCCCAAAGAGACTTCTAAGCCAATGATTTTCAAAGAGGGAATTGAATTCATTGACTTTGAAGAGAAGGGCTTGATGGTTGGGCGGTTTGTTATGTCTTAAATGTGAATGGGAGAACCATCCCACATGGGCAACATGTGATGGGCCCTGGGGACTGAGGGCTTGTGAGTGACTGGGTGTCTACACAGCTTGGCTTCATATCTGTTCTTGCCATATTAGAGTCCAAAGTCTCTCAGGCATGGAGAAGCAGTCATTTCCTCTAAGAGATTTGGAGACCTCAAATACAAAATCAGTTACCCAAAGAGAATCTAAGTTAAGGTCATTGTACCTCTTCCTCTGAGAGGAGAAAGGTGTTTGATGATGAAAACAGAGCTGAACCCTAACTTGTAACTGCTCAATCTAAATTGGATGGTGCCACCAAGTGGACGGATGCCCACTGACCTGTGTACAAAGCTCCGACCTATTAGGGATGTCAGAGTATGAGCCCACATCTATGTGAGGACATCACCCATTCCCACACCACCAGCCACCTGCTCCTCCTTCTGAGAAGAATTGTTTTCTGCCCTCTTTGAAGGAACAAATGGTCTGAAATATTGAACTGGAAAAAGCCCTCCAGGCACACATTCTACTCCCTGGGCCCCCACGGCGGTTATTTATTGAGGACGCGTGATGTGCCAGAGACTAGACGTGTTATGTCTGTCATTAGTTCTCTCCACCACCCTCAGAAGTGGAGACTACACCTTCATTTCACAGATGAGTAGATTTAGGTTCAAAAATTCTTGGTAGCTGCTCAAGGTCACACACCTGCTAAGTGACAGATTTGAAAATAGTATCATCAAACTCCTCACCACAGAGCCCCCTCTCACATGCCAGAGATGCTGAACTCCTTGGCTTGGGCTGTGGCCCACGCAGTGCCAGCCTTTTGAGCTCCCCAGGTGACTCTATTGGCTGCCTGGGCTGGGAACCACTGCACTCCACCAGCCTTCCTATAAATCAGGAGTCTTTATTCTAGCCTACATCACAGCTTCCTTTAGGGGGAGGAACCAAAGCTATGGCTCTCCTCTAAAGAAAAATAAATATACGTGTATATACACAAAAAGTTGCATACAATTTCAGGTAATTAGGAAAGTTTTAAAGCTTCTACATGAATCCCCCAAAGGTCAGGAACTCAAATTAAGGCCAAGTCAATAAATCCTTGGCTCCAATTACTTGGCCACACATGGGAGTTAGCGGGGAGCCTTTAAAAAAAAATTCAGATTTCTGGGCCCCACTCCAGATCTACAGATTCAGAATCACTAGATCTGTAGTCTTATAATATGTTCCCACACAATTCTTATACTTCCAACCAGAAAACTGTCTTTGGACTTGTTTTTGGGAACCACCCTCTAAATAATGCCCATTCAATGGATCAGAGTTCATTTCTGTCACTTCTAGGTGACGTTAGGTAAGCTACTTAGCCTCCTGAACCTTCTATTTTCTCTTCTGTAAAATGAGGATAACAATTGTCCCTACCTCGTAGGGTTGATATGGCATGTAACATGGTCCATGTAACTGTTTAGCACAGTATCTGGTACACAAGCACTCAATAAATGTTAATTTATTACTAATTAGATAGTGCTATCATGTTCTTATCTATGTAATTAACCCCTGTAAATGGTCTTTTGGTGATAAGTGGGAATCGAATCTAATTTCTAGCAGACTGTCCACAACAATACATGCAAGAAAGAAGAAAATTCAAAGTTTATTAAACATTAAGAATAACAGACAAAGGTTTGGACTTAACAGCATAAGCACCACCAATATCACGGTGTACAATTAAACTGGCCTCGTGTGAACCTGTACCCGTTTAACAGATGCAGTCTTTGTGGTGTTGCCACAAGGATAATGGTCGATTATTGTTATGTTTGGTAAGGTTCTCCCAAATTAAAGATTGCATGTCTTGACTTAAATATTCACACACACAATCCCCTACATGCACTTGGCCCTCTGTAAAATGTACTGACTTCAGTTGCCAAATCCAATAGATCAAGGTCTAGGATAAGGCTTTGCTCATTTTTAAAATATTACTAATTGTAGAGAAAACCTGGAGGAGACCTTGGCCTCCCAAGTGGGGGCCTGGGAGCCCTTAGCAAGAAGCTGGCAGACTAGGAGCAGAAGGTGTCCACCACATGGAGGGCAGAACACCTAGTCTCCACTCCCCTGCAGCTTAGTGACCTCAGATTAAATCCAGGCCTCCACACGCCCTCCCTGCAGGCAAGCAGGCCAAGCCCGCCTGCCTTGGGATCGCTCTGATGAACTCGGATACAGTCTGAGGGTTTCTCAAAGGAACACTGGGAGAAAATTAAAAGCAAAGTATAACTTTGCATTTTACAGAAGGTCTGTTGTTTTACTCTGGGGAGGGGGATAAGAGGTGGGGGCTCCACTTAAAATTCTTCTTGACTTGTCAGAAAACAGATCCAAGACCTTTTAAATGTACATTCAGAATTATTTTGCGTTACCTCACAAAACCGGGTTCTCTAGTTACAGCTTCCTACCCACCCAATGCCAGAATCCTGATGGCAGTCTCCTTGAACAACGGATCCTTCTGCATCAAGGGATGGTCTCATGGAAGCCTGTTATATTTGAAGATGAAAGGCCAATCATTGTCTTGCATGGTGTGGGGTTTGAACCATCAAAAGGTAGCCACTTTCTCAAGAGGAAGAAGTGATCACTTACCGCCCTCCCATTTCCTACCTACCTCCTTAAGGTGGCAGGGGCAGAAGGACAGGCTGATCAATTTTTGCCTTTCTTTGCAAGCCTAGTTAAAAGAAATGATGATGTGACCTTGTCAGGAAGTCCTAGGCTGCTCATTCCAAATCGTGTCTAAATGATGTTGGCACATATGATTTGGATTCATTTTTAACGGCCAAGTAATTAATCTCTAAAAGATGCTTATGATGAAAAGGTGAAAAATGACAACAGGACTCTGATAATAACTGCAGTCTGCAGAACTCATTTGACCTGGTGGATCCAAGTCATTTCAAATGGGGCACTGCCTTCCCAAGCCATTTAGCAGAACTGCCTTATTTAGTGGTTAACTGCCCCGGGTAGAAGGCAGCGAGTCCAGGAGTGAGTGCTCATGTGTGTGTGGTGACAATGACCTACATATAAGGCACCTATACAGACTCCAAAGTTTTCAAATTTTTAAGATGAGGCAAGTTTCTGAAACCTCCCCTGGCACTCAAAAGAATAAGTCTTATTATGATCTTTTTATTTCTTCTGCAGAAAACATTTGTGATGCTCATTTGATACAAAATAAACTAATTCCAAGAAAGACCAGTGCTCAAATACAGTTTTTTTAGCTACTATTTTCTACTTCAATGAATGTGGATGATCCAGAGCATAATCCTTCAATACTTCTCCACTTAAACATATCATTTGTCTCTGTTTCAGTCACTACTGCCATTTAATAATTCTGCTGCAATTAACCTCTTTACCTATAAAAAGGCCAACTCTGTGTTCACTTGTGTCTCTTTCTGAATATCACTTATTCAGTTCTGCTTAAGATTGCCAACAGTTTTGTTTATTTTATTTTATTAGTTATTTACCTGCACAATGTATTTCATCCCAGTACTCTCCCATCTCCCACCATAATCTGTGGCTTAGGACAAATGGATACTAGTAGGAAAATCCTATTGATCAGGTTTCCCAAGACTATGACACTGTGAGAGAGGCATTGTGATGGATTGACAAGGAGACCCCAAGGTCATTAAAGAATCAGATACTCTGAAGGCAGGAAACTAGAAAATCCCATCAATGAAAGGGTATTTTAATCTAACACAAAATGTCTCTTTGCAATAACAGCAGAATCTCTTGACATTACACAATTTAGCAAAACAAATGAACAATCATCTTTAAAGTCAAAACATCTGTCAAATTATAAAGCATACACATAGCACCGATATCAACCTTATACTGCATAAGACGCACATGCCCGTGAGGGAGAACAGAATGGTTTGGGGTGCTTGCACTGATATTCCATTCCAGGAACTCATAATCGTGAAGTGAACATTTTTGTGGCAGATGCTTTTCCTAAAAAACACTGTATCATCCAATAAATATTTGACTAACATCCCTTTTGTGCTTTTGGGTGACTGACTTCTTTCTGAGACCTAATAGGGAACAAGAAAGCTCCTTATATATTTTAGAGTAGGATTCGTCGCAGCAAGCCTTGATACTGCCATAAAATTTTAATTTAAAGCAGACGACATGCTGATGTGTCAGTGATAGGCTTAAAATATTAAAGATTTCAAAAACCTCCAAGCACTTCTTCTCTGTACAACATTGATGAATATATATCTTTGCTATATAATTTTAAAACATGGAATAGTTTTCCTTTTCTCTTTGCTATATATAATATATGTCTTCCAAAATACATTGTCAGTCTTTATATCTGAAAAATACTGTACAAAAAAAGAACTTCCTATAATTACTCTGTATAAACATTAAACAATTTCATAATCTCTCCTTTTGGTCTATAGTAAACATTTACATTGATTGGATTAACCACAGTTTGTGACAACACCATCCCCTTCTGAGATACACCAGTGTCTTTTACATTCATTTTTCAGAAGTCCACTTTATAAGAGCAAATACGTTCGAAAGCAAACAGAGAATAAGAAACATAAGCTCCAGAATCATTAATTTATGAAGCATTCAAAAATGACACTGCTAGGAAAAAGGGTCTTACAAAACATCAACTTCTTAACTTAATTAACTGATTTTTAAAAACAGCAAGGTTTAGTTCACAAAAATATATATATTACAAAAAATGGGGAAAACTGAATCTTAAGTAATTGAATAGTTTTGAATATCAAGAGGAATATGGAAAAAGTTAACTAGAAAAGTAGGGGCTGGGGGTGTGGGAGAGGGGAGAGAACAAAACCAAACATACCAATGACAAAAGCTGTTCCACGATGCATTTTTTTGGCTCATATACTGATAAATTAAGCCCCCGTTCTTCAACCTGGCATTTCCCTCTGCTTCCCTGTCCTGGGGATGTTCTGGGCACGCTCAAATGCATTACTGTAATTTTTGTTTTTTAAAAGACAGTGAAATTCTTAGGTAGGGAAAATATCCTACGTCCACTAGTAATACTCAGGCAGCATGCTCTAGCGTACAATAGGATTATTGCTTTAGGTACAGACAGTGCAAAAACACACTCTGTGATCTATTAGAGTACTTTTACTTACCCGGGGTCGGTAGAATTAAAAGGAAACTTAGTAGATAGCAGTAAGTAAATATGGGATCTAATAAATCTAAACAGCACTTTAAATCTGAAGACAATTATCACCAAAACTGAAAATATGAGGAAAGCGACCTATAACTGAAGAGAGCTGCAGTGTAGTGCGAAGTTGTTTTGTGCACCTTATTAGCATGGTAACTTACAGATTAAACAGAAACAAGAGCTTGTAGTCTTGAAAACTGAGATCTACTATTTTACCAGGGCCCTTCTTAGCGAATCCAAGCAGAGGGTCCCGGAAGAGGATGTCAGAGAGAACAAGAAGCAGTGCAGAGAGGGCAGGAGGGGAGAAGGGAGGGGCAGGAAACCCACGAGAGGTCTCCATAGTCCAGTAAAAACATGGCACCTTTCTTTTTTGGAACTAAAAGATGATGAGAGGGCTATCTTAAAATGGCAAGTGCACGCTCACGCACGCACGCACGCACATATACCGCTGACCACACACATGAGCACAAGCACATCTACGCACACACATACACACCAAAATGTGAGTCAGTTGTGTTTATGCCTCTGGTAAAGTGCTGATGTCAGAAAGATTGGTTCAGGTGTGGTGCTATCAGACAGGAAACAAACTGTCCATCTATTCAAAAGCCAGCCCACAAAAATGCCACCCTACAGGGGCCCGTGCCTGGCCTCGTACTTGGCAAGTATGTTCTTGCATTTGCCCAGCTCCTTTCGCAAGTCAGCCACCTCCTGGCGCAGGGCCGAGTTCTCCTTCTCAAGGAACGACGCCCGGATGGCAATCTGATTCTCCTTCAGCCGCCGGGCATCGCGGGAGCGTTTGGCCGCCATATTGTTCTTTCTGCGCCTTGCCCAGTACTTGTCATCCTGCTCATTAGTTACAGAAGGAAAAAGAAACAAGATATTAGATTTCAGCAGGGCTGTGTCAGCCAGGGTGCTGGCAGGCCTCAGGGTTGTGCTGAGGCACCGGCCCAGGTGTCTTAACTTGTGTCTCCTTCCTTTCCAGTTTCTGCTTGTCTGGGAGAATGGTCCCTGGGCCATGGCTTCCTTCCTGGAGTAAGGACCAACCTGTGACAACACGCTCCTACTCTCTTTGCTCGGCAGAGTATGTGCCCAGTGAGGAGAGGTCAGAGGAATGAAAGCAAGTGGTGCACCTCACGCCCTAAATTACCTTCCAAATTTCTTTACTCTCTTTGCTGAAAATTTATTTTACGAACTTTTTTCTTCCATGGGCACTGATATGCTTTTTGGTATAAGTTGATACAATATTGCTGGAAGGCAACTTGGCAATATCTTTCAGCTATTTAAATGCATATACCATCTATTTGGCAACTCCACTTCGAGGATTTCATCCTATAGCAATCTTCATGAGTGTACACATAGACGCAGGCACAAAATTTTTATTGCAGCATTGTTGGTAATAGAAAAATGAAGAAAAAACTAATTACCAGTAGGAGATTTAATAACTACATTATGATAGAGGCATACCAAAGGATACTCTGCAGCTGTTAAAAGTAATGATCCAGCTGAACTCAAACGATGTTCATGATATACCACCACGTGGGTGGAAAAAACGGCAATTTGCAGATAAATATGTATGGCCTCATCCCACTTTGGTTAAAAATTTGTAGTATTATCTATTCATAGATTTATACCAAGCTATTAAAAGTGGTGCCTTTAGAAGGGAGACTGAAGGAGGGAGCCCAAGGGGAGAGGTAGGATCTTTCACCTCTTATTTTATATCCTTCTGAACTATTAGCATATTATATGTACGTGTACACTTTGGTAATCAAAAACAGAAATGAAAGAAGAAACTTCAACCTGCCACTAATCAGTATATTCATGTTGGTAGCTTGCACTTAAAAAATTTACTCTCATTTTCTGCCTGTTCCCTAGGCCTTAAGTAGCCTAAAGAATGTTTAACTGTGGTCACTGTGAAAGCAATCGCTCCTTTCCCCCCCTTGCAGCTCCCCCTGCCAAAACAAAGAGAAACCTTCCTAAGAAGACTAAGAAACATAAACCTTCTTTTAGACCTTCCCAATTCATTCATGGTGCCACCTGGAGAATTTTGCAACCCCCTTCTTTCAACAGCTTGCAACAGCAAATCCCTCGATCCTAGCAAGGCTAATACCTGCAGTTATATGCCAGCCAGAATAAGAGGGTGAGGCCAGTTCTTACTCTCCCCCAGGATTCCAAAGGGCAGTTGGCTTTGGAAGAGGCCGCATGGGTTGGGGCCAAGGCTGCAAGCAAGGTCCAAGATCAGTGGTCCACCCCCATACCTGCCCAGTACCCTCAGCAGACATCTGCCCTGCACAAAGTAAGTGTGAGACAGAAAGAGTGTGCAGGCCCCTTCTGTCTGCCCTTTGCAAGCTGGCACTGTTATCTTATTTATAAAGCACTCCCAGCTTTGTACACACTTCATCATAAAATGTAACAAAGTGAAAAAAATGATCGTCATAATAGCTGGTACAGTACTCTGCTTAGAGGGGAGGCTGTCCTTTGAAGAATACCTGGATGAATAAGCTTGGGGCAGGTGTGTGACGGCTCTTGGTGAGATTTGTTGGTGGTGCTTCTGAAAAGCAGCAGGGGAGCTGGAAGAAGGGATCTCAGAGAGGCTAGGCCAGCTGGACGGGGAGAAGCTGGCAGGAGCTAGCGGAGCGAGAGTCTTCACAGGGGTGAGTGGGCCTAAAAGCATATTAACAACAGGGAAGCCTCCAGTTCTCACGGAAGTGGTTTGTGTTACTTTGTAAGCCCCAATTCCACCCCCTTGGTAGTGTCGGTAAATCTACCACACTCCTCAATGTTCCCAGGAGTGTGGTTTCCAAGGTCATTCGACAGGGGGCTGACTTAGATATGTCAGAATCTGCCCAGAGGGGCACAGGAGGCCAGGAGGGGAAGGAATACACGAGAACAAGCCCCTGGGAGATTGTAGAAGCTCTGTGTGGCGGGGGGAGGGTGGGGTGGTCCCGCCATGGGCCATGGACTAGGTCGTTTGTGACCAGGTCTTAAGGACCAGGGAGTAACTAGCTGACCTCAGGGTAACAACAACCTTCTTTGTCTCTTAGAGCTCTTTTCTCTTCTAAGGCGCTTTCATTTCCCAGCCTCACCTGTCCCCACATGCAGATGAGCTAGGAGAGGTGTGGAATGCAGACCACCTCAGGTGGGAGGGGAGCTAAGAATAGGAATGAAGCAGAGGATGCAGAAGGCAGGACTGATGAAAAGGGGACTGTCCTGGACTAGAAAAACCAGCTTGCCTCCCTTTGTTATCACAGAATGGTTGCAGGGAGGGGAGGCAGGATATTGGTGGGGCTGATAAATTTGGCGCTACATCTCCTCTCCCCTTCTCTATCTCCCAGTGCAGATGTCATCTGGCTGCCCACTTACCCCCACCCAGCAAGGACATCCTAGGTCCAGCCCCATCATCTTCCCGAGGGTCTCATGTTTGACGCTGCCTCCCCACTGAAGCCCCCCCCCAACAGGTCAACATCCCTTCTTCTCACCAGACTAGAAGTCCCTTGAGGGTAGGAACAACGTCAGTATGGCTCACCTTGGAATTCTCAGCCCCTGATACAGGGCTTCGCACACACGAGCATTTGAAAAATATTTGTCAGGTGAATGAATAGATGTTTAAAAGTATTAAGACATCAAGGTGATTAAACTGGTTCTCAGCTAGGAATCCCAGTATGCCACCCCTTAATTCTCCCAGGGGATGCATGCTAACCCAAATGAATGGCTCAAGAGAGGAAGTTCAGACAGCGATGGGGAAGACAATTCATTGGCGGGGGCCATTTCACTCAACTGGGTTGCTCATCCAATGCTGGGGGCCATGAACACCTCTCCCATTCACCCCTTTCTCAGTCCTCTCTGCCAGAAGGAGAAATATGTTACAGCTCTGCTTCTTGCTTTGCACAAGTTCATGGTCTGTGGCCTGAGGCTTCACTCACAACTGAAGAAATCTAAGGACACGTGGCAGGAGCATGTTCCTGCCTGCTCCCCACCTGCTATGTGAGAAGGTCAGGCCTGGCCACGACAGCAGTAATATGCATAATTCCAGCACAGACGGTTTTCACGTGGCCTCTTTGTTGCCAAGGTTACCAGGGTTATTAAGTAAGCTTGCTCTTTGCTTTGAACTTGTAAATCTGGAGACCCTGTGAAGGTCTGGCTGGAAGATATATCTACTGCTCAGCAGCATCCTTTCAAACGACCCTCCATTCAAAAGGAAATCCATGCTGAATGGGCTCCCTGGTTTAGTTGAACAGATGAGCTCTAAAATACACCCAGAATTGGATGGCTAAGAACACAAGATGAAGAGCATCCAGTTGAAAGAAGATACCTAACTGCCCAGGACCTAATCTCACGGTCCCCCTTTCTTACTCCATCTTAGTCTATGGGTTCCTTAACTAGTTTAGATCTTCTGGTGTTTTTGCTATGTACTTTCCTTTTTAGATTCTCAGGGTGACAGCTCTTGGTTTGCCACCCGAGGACCCCTGTTGTAGCCCTTGTCGGAGCCAACATGCAGCAGCGACCTTTCTGGAAGTTAGAAGACTTGGGGGCCAGGTAGGCCTTACTCTAACTAGCAGCGTTCACCTTACTTCACTTTCTGCTTCTCCATTTCCTCAATTGCAAAACGATAATGTTGGTCTAAGGACTTCCTGAGGTCCCTTTCAGCCCTGACATTTGACAATTCTGCATCACTCAAGGTAATCTCAGGTCTGTGGATGACAGGAGTGAGTTAAATCTGCCGGGTACTTTTTCCTTCAAGGCTCTTTCTAGAGAGCATTGAAAAGCAGAGGTAACTGGTCTAAATCAGGTCCTGGACAATGTCTCAATCTCCCCCTTTCCCAACCTAGGAGTGTCTCTCCATGTGAACCATATTTAGGTTTGAGAAATGAGGGCCAGAAGTTAGAAAAGGGCTAATTCTGCCTGGGTCCAATGCCTTGAGTGTATACAATCACATCTCTATTGTCCATATGATTGGAAAGAGGCATAAACACAAAACATTCTAAGCAATGGCTAATCAAAAATGGTTCTACTTTGGGATTAGCGGACACGGCACAATTTTGGAAAGAATTCTCTTCCTAAGGTATCATAAAAGGTCAGATTAATTTTGTTTTAAGTTGTATCTGACTTCCCAAGGTAAATCTATTTTCCTTTATAAATAATGTGTCCCTTCAATATAGCAGAGAAAAACCAACCCAGAATTAACCTTTTGTTGAGATACTCAAGTGATCATTAGTTGAGATACAGAATGAACATTACATATAAATAGTGTCAGGGAACCCGCCAGCTTCCTTAACCAAATCCCACCCTGGCCATCCAAGGTTGGCAATGTGGAACGAGGTCCTGTCTCCACCTGTTAGTCCCTGAGGCCTACATGGAAATGGCAGCAATTAATTATCAATAAATTCCCAAAGGGAAGGTAATTCTTGGAGGACTATGAAGTCCAAGGGTCCTTCCCAAATAATTATCTTTCTCTTCCCAACCTTGAAAGATCTGGGTTTATTTTACTAGGCTTTCATGGGTTTCCTTGCAGATAGTACTGGGTTTACTTCCTTCATGGGCTATAAATCACTCCAATGTTTTATTGCTTCTCCTTATTTCTGTGCATTACGAAGACAGGAAAAGTGTATTTCAGAAGACACCCAGCCAGGAAGCAACTTGCCTAGAGTCACATGCCAAGAAAGAGGATCAATAATCACGAGTCCTCTGTTCACTAGCTTATATGATCTTCCTGGGGTCACCCTTTGAATCTGCCTCTTGACCCCACTCTCCATTTGCCCAAAGCCTGATTACCAGTTCCAATTTACCTTCAGATCATCGGGAATGAAGACTTTGCGCGCTTTCTTAATCATGGGCTGTGGCTTCAGTTCTTCCTCAGAGAACTTGCGTTTGCGAGGGTCAAACATTTCCTGGCCAGGGATGCTGGAGAGGGCAAGATCTGCCGGGTCTGGCTCATAACCCACCGGGACCTGGATGGTGTCAGGATCAATTGGACTCGGTGTATTGCGGTTTGCTGGCAACAGCTGACCTGGAACAACACAGGAGTTTTAATTCATGAACACTCTAGAGACACCCAGGAGACAGCTACTTGATGATGCTCCAGGATGAGTGGCAAGAGTCTTCAACTTACTCATATATGACCCTGACATCGTTTATCTTATTCATCCTCATGACGCTCCCGAGAATACAGCAGGCTAAGTGGACTTACTCATGTCAGAGCAGGTAAAACAAAGACCCACATACACATGTTCACAAACTAAATTTAAAAATACATGCATTCATTCTTAACTATAACACATTCACGGAGCAACAAGTATGTGCCAAGCACCCTGCAAGGTGTAATGGATAGAAATACATGATTTTTACCATTAAAGTGTTTTCCAGGCGAGTCAGGGAATCAGATCAATAAATAGCCAATTGGGATATAGTGAAGGTGCGGGGACAGAAGTAAACCTCACGTGCTTCCAGAGTGTGGGGGGACAGTACCTAACACAAAGGAGGTTAGGGAACACTTCCTAGAGACGACACTTGGTGTAGTTGCACCTTGAGACAAAGTCATTAGCAAAAAAGGTAATCTGGGCACAAAGACAAGACAGAGGGTTGCATTTTTGAGGAACTGCAAGTAGTCTTGGGTAGCTGTAGCACTGAATCAGGGCACAAGATGAGGAGGAGGGGAGTGTACATACAAGAGATGTGGTCAGGAAGGGGGGCAGTGGGGTTATTATAAAAGGTCCTGAATGTCACTGAAGGATTCTGAGCAGCGAAGTGATAAGCAGAGCTGAAGTTTGGAAAGAAGACTCAGGCAGCGTGAGGAATGGACTGAAGGGGGCCAGACTGGAGAGGGGCGGTCAGCCACCAGGTTGTTGTGATAACCCATGTGTGCATGAATATTGGCAGGGGGACAGTGAGAAGGGGAAAGGTTCAAAAAATATTGACCAAATTAGAAAGGGCATAATGGAGACGATCTAACTTCCACTTGAGGGTTCTACCAGCCAAACCACTGAAACGCACGAACGTCCATAGAACAACGGGTTTACTGCATTTTGGAATGTGTCTTACTGGTGAAAGTAAACTTAATAACAGACTACAATGTTTATGTGGGGAGCTCTGAATCTTAACTTCTAGTTTCATCTGAATTTTATAGTCGTTCCTTTCAGGCCCAGAGAATACATGAGAGGATACAGCTCAGCTGGGTTTGGCCCATCTCCTCCTCTTCCTCACTGCCAATGGTTGGACAACGTGTGAAGGATCCCTTAGGTTTCATTAAAATCTACCCCAGGTTGAAGCATGAAGCCATTGGCTCACATTCTAGCTAAACTGTGAAACCATGCTCATCTGTTTTCTGGAAAGGCCTGGTGGGGAGCTTGCAAAATGAATGTTCTGGGTGACCTTTTAGGTCCCCACTCTGCTTTGAGCTCTCTTTGCATCCTGCTTGCCAAAGAGGAAGAGATGGGCCCCGAGGCATTGGCAGAGGACGGAGATTTCTCATTAGCCAGGCTGAAGCTCAGCTCCAGCTTCTAGAGACTGCTGAGTTCTGTACTGGATGGTGTCAAGCTAGATTTGATCTTATGCCTCTTGACGCTGCCTCAGAAAATGAACCATGTCTGAGTCAAATGGGGATTTTATTTTCCCTTTAGAAACTCTCTTTGAACTTTATAACAAAGTTACCCAATGCCCCATCACTACAACCACCACTCCACTCTACCTCCCCCACACACACACTCATACGGGCATATGCACGCTTCTCCTACCCTCTGAAAGCATCGCTTATTTAACATTTCCCAAATCTAATTGTTCCAAGTTACTCCAAGTTCCTCCTTAGTACTTCAGTTCTGTTTATTATGCTATATTAAAATGTTATCCTTTATTGATTTATAAATGTTAAGCTTCACACACACACACACACACACACACACACACACACACCCCTCCTCTACCAGACATCATGGTCTTTCACGTTTTATCTATTTTATCCCCACCCCACTCCTCACCGTGGTGCCTGCTTCAGAGTTCAGCATCTACAAAGAGTATTCCTCATTTAATGGTGGCCCTCTGAGATGCTGGGCTCTGACATTCCTTCATGGACATTCTAACAATAACACTTCACATTTAGGCAGGACCTTTCTCAGCATTCTTTCTCTCTAGCCCTTTCTTCCAATGGAAGTAGGTCAGCCCTACCTGAGAAGGGAGAAAACCTAACTGGACCACCAAGGAGGTCAATGGCTTCCCCAGCACCAAACAGCAAATGGCAAAGGACCTGAGAAACAACTCCAGGTCCCCTCTCTCCCTAAACATACCCTTGCACCACCTTGTTTGTTTATATTTTCTACAGAATTAACTCTGCTGGACTCATTTTTTTCCCTTTTATTCCTACATGTCAACAGTGTCATTGCATAATGGGAAGGAGGATCTTTATTATTCTGCCCTACTTCTTGCGGATTTGCAAAATTTGAAATGTCAGAATTTTCAATTTAAGAATGAAACATTAATTTTTTAAATTACCAAAGACATTCATTGCAAAATCTGAACAAAGAAAGAAATGTGTCAAGAAGTGCTCCCTTCCCCTGTCCCCAATCCATTCTTTGCTCTTCCCAGAGGAGACCACCCAACCTGCTTGGTGTGAACCTCTCAAACATTGGTTTTCACACGTAAATGACTTAATCCAAATAGAATTATAATACCCACATATCTTAAATTACTTTTTCAATATACCATATGCAATTTCCCATGTTAGTACAAATAGAACTACTTTGTTCTTTTTAAAGGGTGAGTAGTATTCCACAGTTTGGAGATATAACAATTTATCTAATCATTCCCCAACTAATGGATTTTTAGGTATTTTTGTAGACAAGATTCCTAGAAATGGGGCTGCTCATGCAAAAGGTATAGACATTTTATATTTCTAAATGCACTGCTAAATTGTTGTATCTATTCACACTTGCACCAACATTCACAAGAAAGCATTTTCACACAATTAAATATTAGTTTTTAAAATGTTGCCAATCTGATATACACAAATATCACTGTTGTTTTAATTTACATTTCCTCTGTTACTAGTGAGATGGAACATCTAACATGTTTATTGGGTATTTCTTTCTCCTCCTGTCTACCAGTGCTTCATATCTTTTGCCCTTTTTAAAAGGATACTGTTGCTTATTCATTTGTAAGAACTCTTTATAGACTATGGATATAATCTTTTCATCTGTTTTATCTATAGCAAATATTTTCTCCCAGATTGTAGTTTGTTTTCTAACTTTGCTTATAGTTTTTCACTATTGAGAGACTTTATACTGTAATGTGGTAATATCTTGAAATCTTCCACTTAATGGCTTCTAACTTTCAAACCTTCTCTACCTCAAAATTATATAGTATATAATTTATATATACTATCAAAATTATATATTATAATTTTATTACATATTACATATAATTATGTATTTATGTAATTATATACACACATATATTTGTGTATATATATGTATATTACTCTATACTTTTCTCTAATACAACTAAAATTGATTTATGTTTTTAGGATTTTGACTCACCTAGAATTTAGTTTTGTGTATGGTATAAGCAAGAGGCTTTACTTAATGTTTTTCAAATATCTTAATATCAGGATATTAGTAAGGTTTCATATTTGATAG